ATATATATATATCTCCTGCTTATGATGTCTTTACAGGTAGCCACTGTCTAAGTTGAATACAAGACCGTGTTTTAAAAATGTATAAATAATATTGAATCCATTAGGCATGAAAACACATCAGGTATAAATCCGGTTTTTATCAGAAAACTCACCAAATTTGAACATCATGGTGTGAATGAAAGGCCTCTATCAGAAAATTCACCACATTTTCGTGTCAATGTATGAATGAAGGTTTTTATTTTTTAAAAGCAAAAAAGAAAACCGCACCAAATTTGCACAACGTGGTGTGAATGAAGGTTTGTTGTTTTTTTATCAGAAAACTCACCAAATTTGCACATCATGGTTGGTGGGTGGGTGAGCTGACCCCGTTTGTTAGAGTCCTTTTTCGGAAGGCGGAAAAAGCGCTAATTTGCAAAGGTAAAAAGCTGTAAATGGTGAACTCTGTATATATACTGCCTGCGCTTGTAACGCGATCTTTTGGGCGGTTCTATCGTGTTTGCATAAATGTTGCAACATTTTTCGTCAGCAGCGAGGGATAGAGGAAAGAAGATCTGCTGTGGGTTACTGGACCGTAGAGTGTTATTTAATTAAATGAAGTGTTGTGAGATATTTATAATCCAGTCAGTCATACTTAAGTGTTCAAAGTAATACACTAACTCGGTTTATTGATTTGCGGAAGTACATTGCGCAAATGATCTAATATTTAAAAAGTTATATGTAATAGTTATATAACTATAATTGCTGAAAACATGTGCGGCCTCTTAAACTGAACGAAGGGGTAAATTATTCTTGAAACTAGATTCATGAAACACAATTTTAATGGTTTGATTGGGTATAAGTGAGTGGGGGTACTATGGGTTAAAGTGAAAGCAAACTTTGTCGAATTTCTAACAGTATTTCAAAATAATTTGTAACCCAAACCTGTTCCGATTCAAAATTTTCTTTTTCATGCCCACGATTGAAAGGAAAGATTACCGGCTCAATTAAAGGTGATGAAAGATGCTTTTCTTACAGTTCACTGCTTCTAAATAATTTAGGGGTTTCATCTTTAACCCTCGTAAGCCCCCGGGTCATTTTGTACCCCCGGGGTTGTATTCTTCACATTTCAGAATACTTCTTTTGCGAAGATCTCTTTGAAACTTTCAGTATTTCTAAAAA